CCATCCATATTCCTGGGGAGCCCACAGGAAGGAGGTAACACTGTTCTCAGATGAGAACTCCCCAGGGAAAGACCCTTCCCCTGTTCCCAGTTTCTTCACCAGGCTCCCAAATAGTGTGAGTGAGTGTGATGGGTGTCAATGTGATTGTGAGTGTCTGCTCATTCAGCTTTGATCCTCACCTTGTGGGATACACCATTCTTGTTTCTAAATTTGGAACCGCTATTGGATATTAAAATTGAAATTATCTCCTTTTCTTTTCTGACCTGACGCTGACTCCTACTTCCCAGTTTCATTGACACATATCAGTTTTCATTCCTCCACTTCCAATTAACTGATTTGCAATCACATGTATACCATGACTTGGGGGAACCAGCTCACCCCATCTGCAGCCCAGGGCCCCTGTGTGACACAAGCTATGCAACGTCCATCGTCTGACAGATTCCGGGTGGATCGGGATAAGCTCTGAAAAATCAGACTGTCCACTGCTAACTTATGTTATGACCTCCCTTTTTTGTATAAACATAATATCAAAATATTCTGAGCAACATTCAGTTTATAACTGGATTGTCTTAGTCACACAGGCAGCTGCTGGTTCAGGCAAGGTGAGAAATTCCTCTGTCTCCTGAGACAAAAGCCAAGCCCCAGGAGAGATAAGACTCCAGGGCATAAAAAACTCCTGGGAAGCTTTCTTGGTTTCTTTGAATAAAAATAAACTTCAGATAAGGCTCCCAAGGCATAAGGACTCATGGACAAATTTTAACCTTGACTACACAGGTATTGTTTGATATACAACTGTACAACTTTCTCTTAATTTACTCCTTTTTAAAACAAGCACTAACTGCTCTCTGCTAGCCTTAAATTAGCCACTAGCTTTTCTTTAGACAACACTGCTAACACAATTTATTCCTACCCCACGATCCCTAACAACCTTTTGCTAACAAGCTCACCCTTTCCCAGACCCCTCTTCCTTTGAGTGATAACTAGACAGCTGTATACATGATAACTATCACAAAACGTATCATCTATTATACCATAAATTGTTAAGAATGCTTTTCCCCCTTGTCCTTGAGAATGTTTTATGGAGATATCTCATTAACTCACCCTATGCATTATTACAATGAACTACTTGCTACACAGTATAAACAAAGGCCTGCTAAGGGATAGCAGGAAGACTTGCACCCTATCCTGACTCCCGTAACTTCCTCGCGCCCCTCTCCTGTCTCCCCTTTTGGAATCTCTGCTCGCCGACGCCTTCCCATCTTAGGGTCCTGCCTGTACTGCCTCCAGACACCTGAAAAGTTGGAGCTAGTCTCCGACACCTGTGTGTGTCTGGTCCGTGGCCCAGGTCTCTCCTGCTGGGGCAGCCATGATGGTCCCTGGACGGTGCAAGCCTGGTCACGCCCGTCATAGAGCTGACACTTTTGCTGGTCACTTTCTTCAGGCCAGAGACTCCTCCCGGTGTCCATCAGGTGGTTGATTCGCCCTGTTGCTTTCCACTTCCTGGTCAGGTGCAGCCCCAGGACAGGGCACCTACATGCCCCCCCACCATCCCCGGCTGCCCCTGTCGCCGTTGCCCCTGCTCCCGTCCCCTGCCTGCACCTCACGTCATCAGAATCTGGTCAGGGTGTTTCCTGGGAAATTTCATTTCACAGTTGAGTGGAACCATCTGGCAAATGCCCATCACATGATGACTTCACTCTCATCACCCCACATTCCTGCAGGGGAGGGTCAGATGGATGCAGACAGCACAGAGTGGACAGAATGATGTTGTATTACCAGGGAGAGTGTAAATTTGATATTGAAAGATCGTTCTGGTAACACAGGGGAAAACAAATGATGTTAAAAATTGAAATAAACATTACAAAAGTTGATATAGAAGAAATAAGGAATGCGTGCAATTTGATAAAAATCAGACACTGACAGGACATGAACTTCACATCAGGACAGGTCCTTCCCATCCCCTCCCTGCTGCAACCCCACTTAGCAGCAGTGACGTCAGCATCTCCCCATGACACAGGCTGGAGGGTTGCTCTGTGCTGGGGGGTCATCCCCACCCAGAATCTAGGTGTGATGTGTGTTAATTCTGAGGTTACATGGGATGTTGCGTAATTATTTGGCGCTTTAAATGGAATCAATGGTCTGGACCAGCTGTGAACCTCTTTACAATGACTGAAGTGGTTGGAGGAGGTGATGGAACAGTGGGCCCCCCGTCCTGTGGCCCTGACGGGGGACCAGAAGGCAAGGGCCCCGTGACCACGTTCCTGCCCCCAGCAGGGCCTGTTCCATGAGACAGGTGTGAGGCCCAGAGTTCTGAGGATGAGGGACCCTTGTCAGCCCCCAGTGGACAGGGATGGCTCACACTGCACCCTTCAGCGCTGAGCACCCCTGGGCTGGGCTCCAGGGTCTCAGCTCACAAGGTCAGGCATTGGAGCCTATGGGGCCAGATCAGAGAGGATAAGTTGGTGGGGCTAATCCTCACCTACTGGGGTATCCAGTTGAGGTACTCAGGCCACACCCGAGTGTGGGGGTGAGTGCAGGCAACTGATGTTCTTCCTGTCACCAGGTGTATGTCCCAGAGGCCTCTGTGGAGCTCTAGCCCAGACTGCTGACACTCCCAACCCTGACCCCCAGCCTGTTCCGTCTCCCGGCTCTATCCCCTCTGGTTGTATTGACTCTGGATCTTCCAGTGTCCTGGGAAGAGCAGGGGGCTGGATGTGGTCACTACAGTGGTCACCCTGGAGCACAAACAGCATCTCCTATGCCAGGCCTCTCTTCATATCTGCTGCACAACTCTCACCAGCTCTCCCTGACCCCAAGGACATGGCCATGTGTGACTGTGGGGGACAATGTGGGGGAGAGAGCATGGCCAGACACTGACCATGTATGGACAGAGGGGCTGGGACACCCAGGACCAGCAGGGGACGCTGGGATCACACTGTGAGATCAGGACTCAGGGCTCAGGGACACCAGGGAGCTGGAATTTCCTCACTGACATTTTCAGAGTATTTTATGCAAAAGTGAGAGACACTGAGTGTGTGAGCAGGTCTGATGGGGGACAGTGAGTGGTGACTGTCTTGCAAACGGTTTTCTCCAAAACAGGCTAAGACAACATTAGAGTGACTGTACAAAAAAATGACATGATAAATTACTCAGTAATTGAAAACAAACATGAAGTTCTTCACTTTGGTGTATGAAACACACAAAACACTAATATGGAGAATCTTCCTGAATGTTGACAAATAGAACATCCCCACTGAAGCAGAAGGAACTTTGTATCATTTTGTCCTTAATAATCAGAACTGTCTGATGATGAGCTAAGGAATTAAAACAACTAAGGAAAGAGAACAGACTGGGACACAGAAATAAAACTGAGTTTGTCCACTGCTGACATGACAATCTACATAGAAAAATGCATGAAAATCAATAAAACTGCACTGCAATAATGATAACACATAAAATTAGCAAGAAGTCAATCAATCCAATGAAAACTTTGCCAAGACCCTTAACTCACCTTTCTTAACACTCGACACGGGGGTGTGACCTGCCCTCCCCACACTGACACCTTTTCTGACCCTCACTGGCCTCCCAGGGTGTCTGTGTCACCCCACATCTGCTCTACACTGGCAGTGTCACTTCTCATGTTAACTGTGGGTCCATCCCGACTCCCAGCAGGACCTGGGAGAAGCTTCTGTCTCCCCAAGGAGAAGCTGATGCTGTGTGGGGTTCTGGCTCTTCATCCTGTGGGGTGTGAGACTCCAGCCCCGTCCCTGTGGGACGTTATCATAAGTGGACATGGCACTAGGCAGTGGCCTCCTCTCAGCTGTTGGTCTCACCATGGATCTTGCCTTTCCTGCTGGGGTGGTGACTTATGGTGACCGACATGACCGTGTTCACTGCCTTCACCACCCTGTGTCCTGGAACAGCACTGGGTCCTGATACGGGTCCTCTGGTGTGTTGTTACTCTGTTTGCTAAGAACTTGTAGAGAATTTTTCCAACCATGTTTATCAAGAAATTGTTGTGTAGCTTTCTCTTTACTGTCATGTCTTTGTCTGGATGCAGGGTCAGAATCGTACTGGCCTCATGAAACATGCTTGGCGATTCTCTCTTCACCAGTTGCTAGAAGAGACAAAAGGGCAATGGTCTCCTTTTGAGGGGTCCCTAGATTAACTAGAACACCTGCAGGTCCTGTGCTTAGTTCGTGCCAGAGACTGTGATTGTCTTCAAAGTCCTTGTCATTGTTCTGCTAGAGTTTAGGTCCCTAATCTAATTCTTTCTCATTCAGCCGTGGACGATTATGTGCTCAGGTGATCTCCATTTCTCCAGCTGACACAATCTGTTTGCTCCATACACCACAGCAATCTTGTGTGATGCTCTGTATTTCAAGGTGTGTTGTACCCTCTCCTTGATCATGTCTGATACTATTTAGTAAGGTTTGCTCCATTTTTTTGTAAGTTAAGCATATAGAACTTGTCTATTTTGTTTTCTTTTTCAAATATCAGCTTTTGGTATCACTTCTCATTTGAACTGTGTGATGCAGGGATACAGGGTCACTGACTCAGCCAAGGATGTTGTGCAGTCGTCTACTAGTCCCTGTCTGAGTTCTTCACCCTCGTGCACAATTGCAAGACTATTTGGGCTCAGGAAACAACAGCAAAGGCTTTTATTTAACAAATTCCCAGGACAGGGAGTCTGCACACAGAGGTGGGTTCTGGATTCTGAGTGTCCTGTGGCTACACTGGGGTCCTGCTGTGGCCTGAGAGCCACAATGGCCTGGGAGGTGTCCTGCTGGATAGGGTCGGGCCTGGCCCGGGAGGACCAGGTGAAAGCATAGTCAGCGCCCTCTTCCCAGGGAGCCCGACCAAACCTGGCCTCACTCTCTCTTATAGCAGGTGCCACTCACATGCAAATGTCCCCAGGACTTCAGACTTACAAAAGCAGGCCTCACTCACAGGCAGGCACACCTGGCTGTGTCTGGATACAAGGACCTCTCTGCGGGAAGATGGGCCCCTGGTGGTTCTTCCTCTTTCTGGCAGCTGCTCCCAGGGGTGCGTGTCTCAGGAGGCAGCTGCGGCCGCTGGCCTGTGTCCACTCTCGCCTCACCGCTGCCTCTCTCTGTCACAAGTGTCCAGTCCCAGGAACAGCTGCAGGAGTCAGGGCCTGGGCTGGTGACGCCCTCGCAGACCCTCTCCCTCATCTGTTCTGTGTCCGGCTTCTCTCTGACCAGCTATGCTGTGAGCTGGGCCCGCCAGGCGCCTGGAAAGGGGCTGGAGTGGGTTGGGCTTGGAAGCACCAACTATAACCCGGCTCTCAAGTCGCGGCTCAGAATCGCCAAGGACAACTCCAAGAGCGAGGTTTACTTAGCACTGAGTGACTCCAGATCTGAGGACACGGCCATGTACTACTGTGCACGACTCACAGTGAGAGGAAAGGCGGGGGGAGCCAGACACAAAACCTGCAGGGACAGGGGGGCTGGGGATGCCCAGGACCAGCAGGGGGCGCTGGGACCACAGTGTGAGATCAGGACTCAGGGCTCAGGGACACCAGGGAGCTGGAATTTCCTCAGCGATACTTTTAAGAGTATTTTGTGCAACATGAGACACTGAGTGTATGAGCAGATCTGATGGGGGACTGGGGGGGGGTGAGGGGGCAGGGAGAGTGAGAGGTACCCGTCTGGTATATGGCTTCCGCAAAACAAGTTGAGACAAAAGTTAGACTGACTCTATCAGTAGATACAAAATTATTATAGGAAAAAAATTGCATGACAAAATGGTTCAATAAAGTAAGAACAAACACAAAATCCTTCATTTTGCTGTATGAAAATATGGAGAATCTTATAATGTTGACAAAACAGAAGTTGCCCATGAAATCATAAGGAACTTTGTATCATTTTGACTTTTACCCTCAGAACCATCTGATAATGTGTTAAGGAATTGAAACAACAAAGAAAAGAGAACAGACAGGGGCAGGGGAATAAAATTGACTTTGTCCACACCTGGCATGACAATCTACATGGAAAATGCATTAAGATCAACAAAATCTTGAACTGTAAAAATGACATGTAAAATTAGAGGAAGTAAATCAACCTGATTAAACCATTGCTAAGACACTTAAGTGACACTTCATCACACTCGACACAGGGTGTGATCTGCTCTCCCTACACTGACCCCATCTCTGACCTCTCACTGGCTTTCTGGGGTCTCTGCGTCACCTCACATCTTCTCTCCACCGGCAGCGTCACTCTCATGTCACCTGTGGGTCCTCCCTGTCCCCAGCAGGACCTGGCCATGTGGCCGTGGACGTCCTGTCGGGGTCCTGACCTCACGGAAATCTTGCGTCTCCCCTTCAGGGAGAAGCCGCTGTGGGGCTCAGGGTCTCGCCCTGTGGGGTGTGAGGCTCCAGCTCCGTCCCTGTGGGACTTTGCCATGAGTGGACGTGGACCTGGGCAGTGGCCTCCTCTCAGCTGTTGGTCTCCCATGGACCTTGCCTTTCCCTGCTGGGGTAGTGAGTTAAGGGGCCCGACGTGTCCATGTTCACCACCCCGTGTCCCTGGAATCGCCCCCAGGTCCTGATGCAGGTCTTCTGGTGTGCTGTTGATTCTGTTTGCTGAAAGTGTGTGAGGATTTCTGCTTCTCTGTTTAGCAGGATGCTGCTCTGGGATTTCTCCCTGTGTGTGACATCGGTGTCTGTGTCCTTTCAGGACCCTGCTGGCCTCAGTCAGTTCTTGGCTGTGCAACCTCCTCCTGGCCCTGGGAGAGAGCTGGACGGCACTAGTGGCCTGCAGGGCTGAGTGGGCTCGCTGGGAAGATCAGCAGGCCGTGTGCACTGTATTTTGCAGCTCTGATGACCTCAGTACGCTCATTAGTAATCGTTCTGTTCAGAAATTCTATTTCTTACTATTCCATGTTGGATACTCAGATGATTCTACCATTTTGTCCATTTCTTGAGAATTTCCCAACATTTTGGTGCACACATTCATGGATTCTCATGATCTTTGGTATATTGAGGTGATTCGTGTAACTTTCAGCCTTTTCTGACTCTATTCATTAGCATTTTTTACCATTTTTTTTAAAGATTTATTTATGCATACAGAACTGGGGTACAAGCCTGAGGTGCAGGGACAGTGAGAGGATTCACAAAGTCAGAGTGGGGAGCAGAATGGGCAGATCGACGAAGTACACTGCCTAGCGGAGCTGCGAGACAGGAGATCCTGGTCTGCCGCACCCTGTGGTCACCCCCAGGGCAGGGTTTGGACGCGTTGAAGCGGCCAGGGCCACCTTGCAGTGCTGCGCCTTAACCGCTGCCCACCAGGGGGCGCCCAATTTCCCCCACTTGTTCAGTGTCAGATTTTGGTGACTTGTTTAGTTTTCAGTTACCAACTGTATTTGTGTTGCTCATTTGAAATGTCTTTCCACGGGGCTTTCTTTACTTTTATTCCAACTTTTATTATTTCCTTCCTTCTACTGACTTTTCATTTCTTCGCTATTTATTGGTTACCTCAGCCGTGACGACAATGATTACTTGAGCCCTTACTGCTGGTGGGTGGTCCCCAGATCTGCCCTCCCTGGGGTGTCGTGGGCCACA